TGTGTGTGTGTGTGTGTGTGTGTGTGTGTGTGTAAGTAAGAGCCTCCTCTTCCCTTCTTCCCCACATTTTAGTTGTTTGGAATAGCCTCAGTAACATCTCAAACTCCTTGCTTTGTAAGAATTGAGATGTGCATAATGATTGAAACCATCCCTGCCTTTTTCCAAAGCTTGCAGTTCTTTAATGAAAAGTATGCTTCCATGTGGGCACTCCATCAGATTCCTTGTTGTGAATGATACTAGCTGCACACCACAGGGATGTGGGTCCCCAAAATACATACCCAAATTTGCCTAACAGAACTGAACAGCTTTCATTTCCGAAGAGCCTATGCATCCACGGAGCAGTGAGCATTTGTCCTATGTCTGTCCAGGAACACCGATGATATTACAATTACTAACAAGTTACTGATATGATAAACAGCATTTCCCAATGTTTATCATCATCAATTTTAATTTACTTTGGAATGAACATAATTTGCTTTGCAAAAATATTTTATTTAAAATTTATCTCTCTGAAAGTTTTTCCATAATATATTTAAAGGTTTACTATAATAAGTTTTCCTACCAGCTGTGAATAGAAACATTTTATCATTTGATTTTTCTTAGATGCTTGTTTTTCTCCAGAATTGTTGACCTTCATTTTCATTCAAATATAAAATGTCTTCAAAGCAAACAAATTCTGCAGCCTCACTAGGCATCTTGAAAAATGTCTTGACATCTAGAGTGCAGGAAAGGAAGAATATTATGCTCCTAACTCTTAATAAGCAAGTGATGTGTTTACAGCACATGTTTCAAAGATAGTTGCCATCTTGTGAGCAGTTATTACAGGTGCTAGTAGGTCTTGAAAATTACATACGTTGCAGTTTGCACCATTTTTGATTAAACCCTTATAATTCTTTTTTCTGTTTTGATGCACATTAGCTTAATGATTGGCATCCACTCTAACTTGTGTTTTGCCAGAAACTTGGCATGTCACTTTTGAATTGATGAGCAGTAGTTTGACTCTGATCATATTTTTTTTCTAATTAAATGTCATACAAAATTTTTGGTTGAAAATTACACCCATAAATTATACCCAATGCCAATTATTTGCTTTAATTATGTCTCTTAGTGAGGCTCTTCCATACTGTCTGTGAATACTCAGCAAAATACATGTGTCATTACCATTTATATGAATTTCAGATTGTATTTTTGGTAAATACAGGATTCTCACATAAAGTATTCTCACGGGCCTGTTTTGTGATTATTGTATAGATATACTTCCTCTGTTCATTATTGTACACAGTTATGCAGATGGATAGCTTGGATATTTTTGTTGCTGATTTGGGTATTAACTAAATACCATGACCTCTACGTAAAAGTTCATTAGTCATTTACAGAGGACATTTAAGCTATTATTTTATTGAGTATAAGCATCAATATGTGTAGTAACTGAAAATATTAAGTATGTACTTACTTAATGTATTCAGTAAAGTAAACTTATATTCAGTAAGGTTTTTTGGTGTTCAGGATAACAAACCAATAACTAAAATGTGAAA